AATGGTTCCATGGTTAATCCCGCCCCATTGTATTAACTTCGATTGACGATTAATTTTTCAATAGCTTTCGAAGTTTTCCGCTGTCGGATTTCTTCCCCACTCTTTCCTTTTCCGCTGCCGGATTTTTCCCCACTCTTTCCTTTTCGGCTGGCGGATTTTCCCTCACTCTTGCTTTTCCGCTGCCGGATTTTTCTCCCACTCTCGGTTCGCCGCTCTCGGACCCAACAGGACCCCCTGAACGACACCCAGCAATATTTTTTCTTATACGCTATTCCCTATATACCTCGCAGTTTGCGCTACGGTACTGCTTCCCCGTTTTTTAGGGGCTCGGCGCCAAAATTTCGTTCGCCGGCTCTGAGCCGGATTCCGGAGTCGGAAATCGCAATGGGAATAGGCCATAATTGTGAAATACAAGAAGCGGTAGGTACCTGTTGTACTACGATTTCCGGCCCACCCTGTAGAAAGAGAATTCTTACAGTGGGACAATTAACGATTCAGTAGCAATAAAAATTAATTAAAAAATTTCTAATTATAATTTCAACCCTTGTACCCCTGAGATTCCATATTGCTTTCTCTTATTTCCAATCAGACGCAATCATTAAAAATTGAATCTACTCGGCAGAGATCCCAGTCCGTCCCTACCTCTCGTCAAGCTTGAACGACGACCTCGACAGGTCGCTCCACGCGCTCATGCTTCTGCTCCGCCTCCTATAAGAAGACTGAGGCGCGAGCAACCTGGAGCTGCTGCGTCTCCTCGTGGTGGCCAAATTCTCCGCCTGGAAGTAGACCCTCGGTGAATGCGTCTTAGCAGCAGCCTGTTGTGCGTTAGGCGGCGTTGAGGAGGGGGTGACGGCCGTCGAGGTGTGAAGTTCCGGCAGCGCCTCGTAGTCCCATGCTCTGGTTCCCATCTCGAGCAGTGGCACCGACGAGGCAGCGGCGTTCTGTTGGCCCCGCAGCGGATCCCGAGGCTTACGCTGTTGAAACAGGGCGAACAGTTGACGGAACGCCGACTCGTTCGCCCGCTGTTCCCCCTTCGCCGGTGGTAGCTTCACTTTGTTCGGCGTGACTGTTCAACCGGCGAACCAATCGATCGATCCACGATGTCCCTCCGACGACATCGTCCTCTACTCGCGGCACTGTCACATCGCGGATTACGTCGTCGGAACACGGTGCGTCCATACGTCGTGTTTCAACAACATTTTCCAACAGTCGAACAAACCCAACGACTCGCGATCGTTTCCCATCGCGATTAATAATTAAGATTAATCGAATTTAAAAATCGAACATTTAATTTCGATAGATTTTTTAAAAGAAAATTAGTTGCCTTTCTCGATAGTTGGAATTTCACCGTAAGTTCAGAGAAAACTTTAATAGGTCAGACGTTGGTGATAAAGTACTAACGATCTTTGTTAAGAAGACCAAGTTAACTTCCCTCAGAAGCAATTTGTAGTCTCTTGAATGTACCAGTGCAATTGATCGATAAACCACAGCTGAGGATTGCTCTGTTCTCGCTCTTAGGAACGTACGACACCGTCGTCGACGATTAATGATAAGCGTAAATGTTCTCGAAAAACGGTTCGATTTCTCGAACCAGTTAGCATCAACTATTCTACTTCCTACACGCTTGTTTGATCATGCAAACGTTTTCCACGGTCAGCTCAGTCGCGTGTAAAATATAAACGCGAGCTTGCGAAATGACCTATACTCTCTGGAAGCTCGTTTTATCAAATGTGAAGCAATCTATGAAACGTGAAATTTCTTATAGAGGAAAAGTTTCATAAAAATTTCTCAGTGTTAGTGGCGTCCGCTTAACGAGTTCAATTAGACTCTACGTGTAACGATTAAATTAGCTAACTGTACGGGAAAACAACCGTGAAAAATCGACGACTCTTGGAAGCTCGTTTTATCAAATGTTTCGCGAAGCGTTCTACGAAACGTACAATAAAAGTTTCATAAAAATTTCTCACAGTTAGTAACTCTGTCTGAACAACTCTACGTTTAACAACGGAAATGTTTATATTTTACGTTTGCAACAGGAAAATTGATAACAGTGATTATTAATGTAGCGTGACTATCAAATCTGAGCAGGTTCATTCAACAACGGTGGGTTTTATATTTTTAACACGTTTGCAATAGTGCGAGAAAAACTGTTGAAAAATTGATAACAGTGATTATTAATCTAACGTGGCTATCAAATCTGAGCAGCTTAAAAATCGAGTGATCTAACATCCAACTCGATA